TAGAAGGTTATTACGAAAAGCAGCATATTGATTGGCTGTCGCGCGAACTTCCGCCGCGCGGCAAGCATTACCGCGGCCTGTGTGCAGAAGCCACAAGCGTCTGTCAACATCTGTAGCGCCGCCAGGACCAAACAACAGCAAAAGAAGGAACTTAGTAGAGCAAAACAGAGTTAGCAACGTAAACGCTTCTAATATCCGCGTATCACATGGTGATACGTATTGGAAAAACCTAATAGTATAGTAGAGGTAATAAAAAGAATTAGACTTTCTTGAAAACTACAAATACTTTATAACAAAATTAATTATAGAAAATTATGTTAAAATTGTTATGAATTATGAGGGAAAATTAATGTGCCAAAAATGTCAATATATCAGACATAAATTGACAAAAATTATTTTATTTCAAGGATAATAATATACCGTCATTTGGGGTAACTTTTATATCGCTTCTATCCGTTTAATGATGCCACATGTTTTTGTAAGCCGTTGCAAATTGTTCAAAGTTACCTCGGTGTTCCAAGTTACCTCAAATGATGGTATTTTAAATAATGTTTTAAAAAATGTTGAATGTTCTTTTTATAATATTACATATATATATAAATATTCTTAATATATATATATATATATATATATATATATATATATATATATAATTCACATATTATATATCTCTTATTATATAAATATATTATATAAATATTATATATTCTTATAAATATTATATAATAAATACAAATTTGGTATGAAATTATATAAATATCTTATTTTGTGTTTCTATATTTTCCTTACAAATCAGATTTTTTTTCTTGTTACTTTAAAAATTGTTGATTTTTATATTGGCTGCGTTCCGAAATTCACTGCCAATACTGAAAATCTATAGTTCATGTCACGTATACTATTGAATTTTAGCACCGGCAGTGAATTTCGGAATGCAGCCATTATAGCAAAGTTATATAACTTTTTTTTTAATGTAATAATTTATTTGAAGAAAAAATGAAAAAGTTTGTTATTGACGATTAAAGAAATATCATAATAATTTTTTATGTATTTTAATGATAACTGCAATTTATGATCACGGACACATACACAAAATATCTTTTACATGGTAAAATAGAAATCACAAGTATGTGATAGTTTACCTAATAGCCGTTGTTTGGTCTTGGCGGCGCTGTAGATGTTGACAGACGTTTTACTGCAAACTTAAGATAGCGGCTAGCGGTCCATGGTTATATAGTCAAAGATTCAGACTGTACTAGACAAAGACAGAGCGCTGTTCTAGAGCATCCCGATTCACCACGCGTACGATTGGACACAACCAACCGATGAAAAGAATTATCTAATGAATTACTAGGTCGACCAATCATTACAATCTGTGTCCAATCGTATCATGGTCAATCGGGTCCCACCCGTCCTAGACCTACAATTATGCTCTCTCTCATCCAGCAACACTCAAAAGATAGCGCGCGTTCCAAGTAGTATATATTTCAGTGTTCTTTTCAGTGGATTTCCCCTCAATTGGGGAACACGAATCAGAACCACTTTCTGTATTCGCGCCCTATCAAGTTCGGCCTTCTTATATCTTACTTCATGGTATAGACATTTGTGCTCTGTAGTTATTAATAAGAAGTGAAAAGCGGGTTGGAGTATTTACGCATAAGTTATGATATTTTTGTGACATACTAACATTGTATTCAACTAAATAATAGCGTAGAAACGAACCATAATGTCTGATATATGGAACACAAGAAAATTATGATATTTTACATCTACGTGTAGCAACGTAAACTATGTACAAGAGATCATATATGTAAACAATAGTAATATATGGATGTCGTTTAAAAAACGTATGACTTACTCAAAAATTAAGAAAAGTTTATATTTTTATTCAACCTTTAAAATCCTGATGTAAATTAGGAAACGTTGTTTTTCAAACACTTTTAATCCACAGAATTTTCTGGTTACATTCTTATTTTCAATCAATCAAATTATTAATCACAAAATAAATTGGAAAATTGATAGAACTTTATTATTTGTTTTAAACATTATATTTATAACATACTCAAAACAGATACAGCAATTTTCTTTTTTAATTATCCTTTTTTTGTGTGTATTTTAATATAATTCATAATATTCTATATAGTTTACATTATCTACCTGAGAAAAGACTATATATATATATTACATAGACAATACATAAACAATCTGCATATATGTAATTTTGAAATCTACAGCATAACCTTGATAAGAAAGAAAAGTACGAAGTGTAAGATACAAAAATTAAAAAAATATGGTTGGATATTGTTATGTTTGCAAAATAGGGCCAGGAGAAGAAGATAATGTATCTATTCACAAGTAAGTACATTTATAAATATAGAATATATTAGTAATATGTGACAAAAATGAAAAAATATGTTTCATTTATTAGTTAATTCTATAATTAAAATGATAAAGTAAAATTTAATATAGTTCCTGAAGTGTGTATGTGTAAATCACTTTCATAAGCTTAATTTTAAAGTTAATATGTAAAAATTTTATATAAGTTTATAAGTACATTAATTGATGTATAGTGTATTGATAATTGAATATATTAATGGTATGTGTTTTAAGGTTACCTAAGGATGAAAAGACTAGAGCAAATTGGTTTGCGTTTATAGGTTGTGAAACAGGTCCACACAGTGGAATTTGTAGCAAACACTTCCAAGAATCTGACTTTATTTACAAAATATATGGTGCTGATGTTAGAAGATTTATTAAACCAGGAGCTTGTCCATCTCTATTGCAGTGTAAACGAAATAATAAGTAAGTCTGAAATAAATGCATAACACTTGAAAAAAATAAATCTTAAAATAATGAATATTATTTATATATAATTTAGAGAAAATACGGAGACTGTTTATGAGCAAAATGCAAGTAACTATATATCAAGTGAAAACCATGATATAAATGACTGTACGTCAAGTGGAGACCGTGATACTAAAAGTGACATTATTGTAAATACAAGTATAAAAGTAGAAGATATATCATATGAACCCATAAAGATTGAAGGTGTTACGATAGAGGAAGCGTCTCCAATGGCTAAAATTTCTTTAAACAGGTTGGTTTCTATATTATAATTATATATATATATATATATATATATATATATATATATATATATAT